CCGCCCGCCCCCCCGCCCTGTACTGGGGATTGAACTCAAAGAGGGCTGAGATAGATTACCAGCACTTTTAATTATTTTTTATCCTGAGACAGAGTCACTAAGTTGCCTAGGCTGGCCTTGACTGGTTCTCCTTGCATCAGCCGCCCAAGTAGCTGGGATTACTGTAGTGTGCCACTGTACCTGGCATCTTTTAATTTTTTAAATAGAGTTACTGAAATTTTTTAAACTACAAACATCACTCATATTGTTATTTCAGTTTTACAGAGAACCTCAGCAACATGCAGAAATGTCTCCCCTAGAGTTTATGACAGACAAGACTCTAAAAGTAATGCCTTCCCTGGCTCCTGCCTCTGACTGGGGGAAAAATGCGAGGTTGTTTCATGCTAACATTGCACTCCTTTCCTTCTCCCTAAACCTTGACCAACCAGCAGGATGTTCTGCCTTTGAAGGTGGCCTCTAAACTGGAGCTGGGACTCGTGGATGTGGGGACTCCCCAATATGCCCAGAATGGACAGCTAACTGTTGCTTTCCTTCCCTTGCCACTCGTAGGCCAGCTCTAGCTACAGCCAAGAAAACTCTGCCCTGCTCCAGCCCTACAACTTGGACATCACCTATGGCCCCTTTTAAGATGGCAACTCAGTCAATACCTTTCCACTGCCCCCCAGGTAATGCCCCAGAGGGTGAGTATTCACAGACAGCCTGGAGGGGACATTCCTAGGCCTCTGTAGCAGCTGGGAACAAGTGCTCTATAGAAGAAGCAACCTCTCAAGTATCCCTTCACCCCCAAAGAACCTGCTTTAGGGTTCAGGGCTTGGTCCTCCCAGAGGTACTTTTGAGAGAAGCCTGTGCCCCTAGCCTGGGCACAGACTCAGTGTGCTGTGTCCCCAGCTTTCCGTGAGTCTCTCCCTGGCTGCCCAGGAAGGGACCCTCAGGTCTTCGGAGTAAGCAGAGCCTAATCAGTTGGATGCCTCACACGTGTCCACCATCATATCTAGGAGACTATTACCTTGCAAGAGGATTCAAGTCCCAGTCCTGGGTCCCTTGAGGACAGGTTTGCTGGAGGCATTTGGGTTCCAGCTGGGACTTCCCACATGAATGTAATATGGTCAAATCTTGGGCTGTGATTATAACATAAAGAGGCCACTTTGGGTTTTAAAATAGTTTTAAATTTAAGAAATGAATTAAGGGAAAGGACTCAAGGAGTGAGAATTCTTGGCAGCCTTGGGGTAATTATTATAAAACATTTCCCATTTTCTAAGCCCTTTACAGTGCCACTATACCTGGGATGGGCTGAACAGGCTCCCTGGCTCCTCTAGCAGCATTGGGGTTATTATGCCACTCCAGGTAGTTACCATCACGCCACACTTCCCTCCCTTGGGCCCAGCTGCTCTCGTGCATATCAGGTTCCAGTTCAACTCCTGCTCTGCCACCTGCCTGCTTAACTTTCCTGAGCCTCATTGCCTTCATCTGTAAAGTGGAAGTAATGACAATTCTTGATCATAGGGAGAAAACTTGCCAACTACCCCAGGCCCTTTGCCTGCCTTAACAGTTCACACTGCCAGCACGACTTCCTTGCTGCCAAAACCACCTGCTCCCAACTGAGCAAACTCTTTCTTCCAGATACCTCCTCATCCTTCTCACTGGTGACTGAAACCTGGAGGGAGAAGAGAGCCTCTCACTCAGGCTAGCAGCCTGCAGCTGGCCTTGCACTAGGGCAGCTTTTGATGTGGAGCCTTGACTCTCCTGTCCTCTCACTCTTGCCCATTCTAGGGACAGGTTTGGCCTGAGCACTGCAGTAGGTGGAGAGGTCAACAAAGTAAGACTTGCCCTACCCCATGTCCTTGAGTTCAAAACTAAGAGTTTTAAAGACCAGAAGTATCCTGGAGATTGAGTGTACCCTTGTGGTATAGTGACAATGACAGGAGCTACAGACCAAATAAGGAGTGGACATGCCCCACCATGCCCTCCCAGCCATGAAGTTCAGCCTCCTTCATAGGGATGTTCAGACACACCCTGCCCATCTTCCCACCGCCCCTTAGCTCCTCCATTCTTCCCCTTCACAGCCAAATTTCACATTTACTGTTCCTCTTCTGCATCTCCCCTCACTGCCACTGTACCCTGTCTTGTTTGTGTCACAATCCCCAGTGGGTCTCTAAGCCCAACAGTGAGCTTGTCTTGGGAGCTTTCTGGACAATGGGACTAAGACAAGGCAAGCAAGGTATTCAGGGAGCAAATTTAAGGAGGCATTCACTCTTGGGATTGTGCAGGCATCTGGTTGGGGCCTAGAGTTTGTATCTTCTTAAATTTCCCTTACAGAGCTGGTGAATACTGTGTGTCCAATATGATGGTCTCCTCTCAGGGTCCTCAGTCCATAAGGAGGCACCCCTCTCTGTCTGGGAACCAACCCACCCTTGAGCTCCCACCAGTGATTCCCCAAAGGCCCAAGACAAGAACTGTCTTTTGAGCTGTATCCCTAAATCTCTATCATCCAGCCCTGATCAACCTCCGTGCCCCCCACCCCTCCCCATCCTCTGCCTCAAGGCCACCAGCCTCACTTCCTCCCTGCCACATTCCGCAGGGATCAGGATTGTCCCCATCTGCACACTTGGCTCTGCCCCTCCTCTACTACCAACCCTTAATTGCTTCCCATGAGCCTAGGGAGAGAGTCCCGTGCCTTCTGCCAGGCCTTTAGCCTCACAACCACACTGAGCTCTCACCTCTGAGCCGCACACCTGCTCTTCCCTCTGCTTCAAACATGCTGTTCATGTGTCTCTGCCTTGGAATTTCATTTCTTCCCAAATAGAACATTCTTGTTTCCTCTTCCTCCAGACCCTCTGGCCCTCTGCATAACCCTCCCCTCCCCAGTACCCAGGCCCTTCCAACGTAGTGCCCTTGACTCCCCACCAATGGCTCCCCAAAGCCCCAGAAAGTATTCAATTGGAATTTATTGCATGGAAAAATGAATTTATTCATTAATACATGGATGGATTGTCATGTAGGTCGCTTTGGTGGCTGGGTAGGAACAAAGGGAGATAATATATAAGCTATAGCCAGGGTCTGCCCATGGCAGCAGGTGACTGGAAGAAGAAGGCCATGTCACCTCCAGCAGGCTGGGTGCTGATTTTTAATGGCCTGGCAGTGAGGTGCGTGCATGGCGGAGGCCTGCAGAAGAGGTAATGCCGAGAGGGCAGCTCTGCCCACCTCTAATTATTGCTTGAGTCTTCCTGGCAGTGCCAGCTGCCTGCCCTGGGGAGCTCAGTCTCGTCCATCACAGTGTGAGCTCAGGGTGGGGCTGTTGCCTCTGCCAGTTGGGAAGACAAGAGGAGGTTCCCAGGGGCCTCGGGTCTTGGAGAACAGAGGCAGCCCCAGGCTTGGACCCTGTTCAGCTCCTGTTCTTTTGCTCTCCAGGTCAACTAAAGGATAGCCCTGACTTATGAGTTCCATCAAGAACCCGCAAGGGTGGCCAAGAAGCAAGCCAGCTGAAGGCGGGGTCCACAGCACCCCCAGGCAGGAAGCCTTAGATGTTTTGGTGTCTGCTGACATGGAAGCCCTTGGGAAGATGGTGCCCTAGTGGCCAGCAGGGCAGGTGGGCAGTTTAGGCCCGGAAGGAGGCTTTGACCACACGGCCCTTCAGTGGCTGTGGTGGCCGGAAGTTGTTCACCATGTGGATCCTCTCATCGTCCTCTGAGGTGAAAAGCAGGCTCCGGAACTTCTCCATCTTGAGGAGGCAGAAGGGATGCTTAGGGCAGAATGAGGGTGCTGTGGTCCTCTGACCCCAGATGCATCATCTGACATCCCTTACCCAAACAGCTCTATCCCTCTTTCCTCTTGTCCCTTAGGTCTTGTCCCCATTCTTCTTCACTCATCCTTCTCTTTGATAGCCCAAACTCAGCTATTTACTCACATTAGGACTTTTGAACCTGGGCCCACTCCACCTAGTTTCAGTTTCAGTTCTGTCTAGCTAAGGCACGACAGTGCATGCACCATTCTAGTTCCAACACGGCAAGTGCAGCTCCAGGATCCAGGCGTCTCCCCACCCAGCCTGTGTCTAGGTCCTAAGGACTAACAACCATGCTAACTCCTGATCAAAAATCTAAACACTTACTAGCAAAAGATGGGAACTTTGATGAGGGATTCCACCCTGCTCGGCCTGGGCCATTTGTTTGCAGCTGGAGCTTTGGGAAGACTCACCTGCCTCTCAGAGATACTGATGGGCTCACGGAGCACAATCCAGGTGACACTCTCACTGAGGGGGGGCGTGGTCAGGGAGCCTGGATAGGTCCAGTAGTGCCTGCTGGCAGGCAGGAGGCACTTGGGGTTGAAGCAGCTGAACTGGGCCTTGGTTCCCTGGGGCAGGGTAGAGACCTGGGAGTCAGCACAGACCTCCCACCACCAGCAGTCCTGTAGATTCCTCACTTGATGTCAAAGGATTCAAGTTTCTTCTTGGCCCATGGATACAAATTGTGAGCAAATGTCTGTGACCCCAGATGCCACCTCCCCAGCCTTGGTTGCGCCTTCTGCACCTGTTTGCTTACACATAAAAGCTGTAGTCTCTGGAGCTCTCTGGTTGCTGTTCACACCTTTGCCTGAAGCTGCCCTCAGTAACTCTACCTGACAAACCAGGATTCATGTGCCCAGGACGTTATTCATCCTATATTCTACCAGGTTGCATTCTGGGAACCAACAAGACCATGAACCAGATATGGAAGGGTCAGGTGAAAGGCCCTGAGGTGCTGACTCTCACCCTGGATCTCCACCAGGGTTGGCCACCAGCATGGAGGAGTGACTGGGCCCAACTAAGTGAGCTAACTTCGCCCCTCTTCCCACCCAGCTGCTCCCAATAGGGTGCAGGTCAAGTCTCACCTTAAACCGAACCATGTAGAGCGCATCTGTCAGGCGGTTCATGCTGGGGTGCTCATCCCCCGTCTGTCAGGGAGAGGGTAGTGTGAGCCTAGCCCCCATGCATTTCAGAACTACGGTCATGCCTTGCTCCCAGATCCCTTACCCCACTCACCTCCAGGAAGACACCGACCACAGCCAGACCATCGGGTGCTGAGGCGGCCTCCCCAAAGGTGCTGTACTTCTTGGCATTCCAGTGAACCAAATGTAGCTGGGGGCAAGAACAAGCCAGGCCCGGCCAGGGCTCAGTGCCACCAGGGGCCAAGGAGAACTCAGAGTCAGGCCTTCCCTCACTTCAGCCTTACTTCAGCCACACTTCCGCCCTTTGCAGGAGACGGAGCTGTTAAATCTCCCAGGAGCCTAGGGGAGCCCCAGAGGGAAAGCCACAGGTGGCATCCACCCATTTCTGAGCCCAACCCTTTCCTGAGCCCCAGGGACCCCAGAGAAGAAACTGGTTCAGTCCCTGGCTGCAGGTGAACTAGCTATAAATTCAATGATAGCCATCCAGTGCAATGCCTCCTTGAGGAAGTGGCACTTGCCTCTAAGTCCAAAGAATAAGCAGAGGGTTAACAAATGGAAGCCATGAGGAAGAGCATTTCAGGCAAAAGAAACAGCATTGATAAAAGCTTGGAAGCATGAAGGAACCAGGTACAGACAAGGATTTGTCACAGATAGCTCAGTGGGAGAAGAGGATAGAAGACATTGAGACCAGGAAAGGTGAGTTTGTGATGGGCCCTGAATGCTATGCTCAGTTCCTGAAGGGCTATCAGCAGCATGTGGGGGGTGGGGTGGGGAGACCCTTTCAAAAACTCCTGGATGCAGAGACCCAGACAGGTCTGTGGTGGCAGCGTGACCTTGCCTTTGCGCAGAGGCAGGGGCCAGTGTCTCTCCCAAAGGCCCACATGCTCCTCTTCACCCTCCTCAGCCACCCCAGCCCAGGTGGCTAGACCATCTGACCCATGCTCATTTTCCAGTGCAGATGGTGACCCTCACCTCGCTGGGGAATGACTTGCCGTCCACCGTGTGCTCCGAGCCCACATCACGCTTCTTGCCCCAGTGGAAGTGGAACTGCTTGAGGCGGTAGGGCCCTTCCAGGGGACCCCCAGTCACCACTGTGGGCAGAATGAGGGTGTGGCAGTTGGTGTGAGAGGACCTACAGCCTGGTGGGGCAATGCCAGCACTGGGCACCAGCCAAGGAAGGGGATACATTTTTCACATGGAAAATTTGCTGGACTGGCTGGGCTTCAGTCAGTCCCAACAACTACTCCTGCAGTCTCTAATCCAGGTCAGCACCAAAGTCTCAACAAGACTTCTGCAGGTGGCAGAGGAATCTGGGAATGACAGAGTGCTGCTCTCCATCTGGTCCCCTTCCCTGCTCCTGCCGATTTCCCATGAAATCACTTGAAATCACATGACAACAGGCCTTCCATCTCTGGAGCCCTGACCCAGGGCTGGCTTGGAAGGATTAATTTGTTTTGTCCTCATGGTAGCTCATAAGGAGAAAGCTCTATTATTATCCCTATTTATAAAGGAAGAAGCTGAGGCATAGAGATGGCAAGGCATTTGCCCAAGGTCACACAGCAAAACAATGAGCTATGATATGAACCGAGAGCTTTTATGTCCCTAATTATCAGGCAACACTGCCTCCCAATAACCTTGAACTTCCCCAGTACATGGTGCTACCCCAGTCAGGAGGACAGCTCCTGATGGCCCCTAACCTCTGGGACAGGCTCAAGTGCCCTCAGTGCCATCTCCTGTATAAATGGTCCTCTTGGGAGGGGCCCATTTGTGCTCATTTCGTGACTTTCTCACCCCAGTAGCTAGTGAGCAGGGAGCATGCACAAGGCCACTTGAGACATAGAATTTCCAGCTGAAAGGGATCTGGCATGGAGGGGTCCCAGATGGGCATGAATGTGAGAACCCGGATCAGGTGACAGCCTCAGCAGCTTGGAGTTCCTCCATGATTGGTGACCAGGGCAGGGCCTTGTCCCCATGGGCCCCTTGATGAAGTCAGGCCAGGCCAGGCCAAGCCAGTTCCCTCCTTGCTGCCTGGGCTTATGAGAGAAGTTTATGAGAGAACAGCGCCTGTTCAGGGCAAGGGTAGGTAGGAGGATGATAAAGGGAGTCTGTGGATGGTGGCTGTGGGCAGGGCCTCAGTCAGGCTACCCTATCCCCCCAGGAAGTGGGAGCAACTGGGATTAATGACAGATCTGTGACCCTGCCTGAGACTGTCTCACTGGGACCCCAGAGAAAGAGCAACCTCTCTAATGGCTTGGGCTTGGCTCCCCAGCTTCTTCCTTTATCTGAGCATGGAATGCATTGCCACCTGAAATAACTGTGCACTTACTATGTGTTGGAACTCTGCTGGCATCAACCACTGACCTCCGGAGTGACCCACAATGGGTCACTACTCTCCACTGGCTCCCTGACTCCTCAGGCTCACTATTCTGGCAGGGGAGGGAGCCCCAGCCATACCTGAGTATAAATCTCCTCCCCAGTGACCTCCAATGAACTGCTAATGTCTGAGTTAAGCCCACAGGGTCCCCTGAAGGCTGTTGGAAGGACAGCCATATGAAAATTGCCCATTCATAAACTGTCATCTCAACTCCCATGTCCCTTTCCCAAAGCTCTGGGTTAGAGGCACTTCTGAGAGGTCAGTACAAGGAAATGCCTTATCTATCTCTCCTGGGGATCTGTTTGTCTTCTTCTACCGCTATAACTATATCTGATTTTCCCTCTCTTTTCCTAGCCTAACAGGAAACACAGGACTAAGCAAGTAAGATTACTCTCCTCCTGAAAGTTCTAGTTTTTCTCCTTTCCTGCCTTTTGATTTTTCTATTTGAGAGCTAAGCTTCCTTGAATGCTTCCATGGTGGGGGGTGGGGGGACCCAGACACTTCTTATAAGAAAGTTTAATACCCACCCCCCCACGATACCTGGGATCAAATTCAGGACCTTGCGCTTGTGAGGCAGGCACAGTGCCACTGAGCTAAATTCTCAGCCCCTGCAGGTTCCCTTCTTATGCTACTCCATATCCCATAGGCCAGTCATTAAGACAAAATCCTTCACTACACAATACTTTCAGGGCCTCTGCCTAGGAATTTATCACAAAAGAACCTGGACTCTGATCTAGAGCAAACAGACCTTGGAATGAGCTGCCACAAGTTCGCTTAGGCCTCCCTCTGGTCCACGGTGGCTGGGAACTTGAGGTCATAGGTAAGTTGGAGCTGAGCCAGACTTGTCCTGGCATGCCCTAGTGCACTGTGGTTCTATTTGCCCATCTGAGAGGTGGACAAGGGATCCAGCACAAAGAACATCTCAGCTCCCTAATCTCCTGGCCAGGCTTGGCCCAAATAATGCAGAGAGGAGGGCTTGGATTTGGGCCACAAAGCAGGTCAATGATGGTAGTGAAAACCAACCTGATCTGCAGCACTCTGGATGGGAAGAAACCAAATTAATGTTTTTTAAACATTCGCTATATGATGGAACTACAAATGTCACTTCATTGTTTCCATTCACCTCTATGTGATCTTATCACTCCCATTCTACACAGGAGGAGCCTGAGACTCAGCCCAAGGCTTCAGAGCTGGTGAGAAGTGAAGCTGTCCTTCCCCACCACAGCAAGCTGCCCCTTCTGAGCCTGCCTGACATAGAGTTAGGACCTTGGGAGGACAAATGCCAGGCTGTTGCAGGGGCCACTTACCAGTTCGGTCATCACTGTCATTGAAGTCTACTTGGACAGAGTGGCCATTGTTGGTGATGCTGAGGGATGTGCAGGCCTCATAGGAAAGCTCCAGTGGCTGCAGGCTGGGTGAGTACACAGCCTGGCTGGATATGATATTGATGGGTGATTGACGGTCTCCCTGGGCAATGGGATACAGCTTGTGCCAATTTGAGGGACCTGTAGGGAGGGAGGGGGCAAGGGTTCAAGCAAGCCAGAATCTCAGGTTAGGCTGAGGGAACCCCTGGGGCACTATCTCCTGGCATCCTTTCAGTGAGCCCCTGCTTTGGAGCTGCACAGTTTAGAGTTCTAATCCCAGCTCTCCTACTGAAACATCTCAATCTCCATTTCCTTGTGTAGGAAATGGTTGCACTAAAACTCACCTCCCAGTGCTGACAGGAAGTGAATAGAGATAAAGCCTAGAAGAGAATATTTCACAGATACAAGCTCAGAGGTGGTTACCAGTGCTGAATCTTCCAACCCTAACCCTTTACACACACTCAAGGAGACATCTAAAGTCTCTGATCTGACCTATCAAAATATTTAGCCTCACCAAGACCTGTCATGTAAAGGTACAAGATCGAGTAATGAGTGGAACTGTACTGTATACCTAGAATGTACCAATAAATTCAATAAAAATAAAAAAACTGAAAAAAAATATTCAGGCTCTTTCTATACCTTGGGCATACTTAGTGCAAATTTGGTGTTGATGATGATAACAAAAACTCACGTCAACATAGCCTGGACTCTGTGACAAGTGTTTGCTTCCCATAATTACCTTGTGAAGTAGAAACTAGCATGATAAGGGAACTGGGGGCAACTCATGCAAGTGTGCGTGCACACACACACACACACACACATACACACACATGCACCAATATAAACACACAGCATGTCTCTGTACTGCCTCCAGCTGCCTCCCCAAGCCTGTGCCTATAGGTCCACAGGTCTGACCTTCATATGTACATGGTGTCATAGGTTGCCAGGCCCAGAGTAGTCAGGCCCAGAACATGTGTGTGTACAAACGCACACATATACACACTTTCACACACTTTTAACTTTGCTGACCACATCTGATACATGAGTATACACCCTTAGACAAAAACATTTCCTTTTGGAAACCCGTTTGCACAAAGGGCCCAGGGCAAAACACATGCCCATGCACACACATGAACATATACACACACCCACACACCTGCATGCACACCCACAGGCACCCACCACCTGCCTCCCAGGGGCTCCATCTGCAGCCTAGAGGCTTAGCATCTCCCTGGGGAACATCCTGAGATGCAGCCTATTTTTAGAGGTACTGCCGGCTGGTGCTTCTCCCCCTTTTTGGCTTCTTAAGTTTTCCTGAGAAAACAGCAGCAGGTGCCGAGCTGTGTCCCCAATGGATGACTCAGAACCGTGGCCCGGCCCCACTAGGTTATTTTTGAAGTCCTGTGAGCACTGCTGCATGCAGGCACCTCTGTCCTCTGTTCCTCCCTTCCTCACTGCTCCCAGACTGGACAATCCAGATCTGGCTGGGTTAGAGGGAGCTGCCTGAGGATACTGTTCCCATGGGGCAGATGCTCTGAGCTGGTGGACAGTACTAGCAGGAAGGGCTGAAGTCTGGGGATATGGACTTTGGGGGACACACTCAAAAACTGGTTTGACCCTGTGCTGGACTGGGGGAAGATGATTGTCCATGAGTTCTGTCAGCCTCCCCCTTCCCTATCTCTCTCCATCTCTGCTCATCTCTGTCGCCTTTTTCTGAATGTCTCCATTCAGCTCTAGCATGTCCAGATCTGAGGGTCTCTTTTGCTCCTGGGACCAAAGTAACCGTCTCTCCCCAGATAAGCAGGGCTGGGAGGATCTTCTCCTCACCACTCCATCTTCTCCCCACCCCCATTCGCCTGCCTGGGTTCCCCTCCTGACATCTTGGATCTTGGGGGGTTCATTGTTCATCTCAAGGAAATGGAGAAGCCCTTACCCACACCCTACCCCTGCTTATAAGACAGAGCATCCAAAAGGGAGGTAATGTGCCCCAGACCCACACTCAAGCCATCTAGCCTCACCTTCAGCCGCTTCTCACTCCCTCTGCATCCTAAGGAAACTGAGGCAGGATGGAGGAACTATCTTCTAGGTCAGACCAGAAGGCTGTGTGGGCTCCGGACTCCCACGCCTCACACCTGACGTGCTCAAACACTCTGCTCTGTGTAGACAGCCAGACACATGTGTGTGCCCCCAAGTGCCCCTTCCCTCACGTACCAGCCGGCGCCGCATCCTGGGCATTTCCTTGGGGAAACTCTCTCCCGGGGACACCGCGCCCTTGCCCACGCGGAGCCAGCTTCCCGGAGGTCCCCACTCACACGCCGTGCGCGCTCGCTCCCCGCACAGACACCCGCGCACCACG